ATTAAGAGCGGTGGGAGTTTAATTTACGGTCAAGGCCTCTCCAGTGCTTCACCTCCTCCACCAGATATTTGGTTCTCTGTAAGAACAATAGTGGTGACAGTTTTATTCACTTTCAAGGCCCCTGCCAGCGCTTCACCTCCCACATCGTATATTTTGTCCCTCTAAAGATCAAAAGTGGTGAGAGTTTTACTCACTTTCAATGAATCTGCCGGTGGTTCATCTCCATTTTTATATTATATATTTGGTTCTCTGCAAGATCAGGAGCGGTGAGAGCTTTATTTACTTTCAGTGCCTCTGCCAGTGCTTCACCTCCTCCATCAGATATCTGGTTACGTGCAAGATCAAGAGTGGTGAGAGTTTTATCCACTTTCAGTGCCTCTGCCACTGCCTCTCTTCCTCCATAAGGTACTTGGTTACGTGCAAGATCAAGACTGGTGAGAGTTTTATTCACTTTCAGTACCTGCCCCAGTGCTACACCTCCTCCATCAGATATTTGGTTCGCTGTAAGATCGAGAGTGGTGAGAGTTTGATTCACTTTCAAGGCCGCTGCCAGTACTACACCTACCCCATCAGATATTTTGATACCCTGAAGATATGGAGTGGCGAGGGTTTTATACACTTTCAAGGCCTCTGCCAGTGCTTAACCCCCTGGATCAGATATTTTGTTACTCTGAAGATTAAGAGTGGTGAGAGTTTTATTCACTTTTAAGGCCCGTGCCAGCGCTTCACTTCCTCGAATAGATAGTTGATTCGACTTTAGATTAAGAGTGGCGAGAGTTTTAGTCACTCTCAGTACCTCTGCCAGTGCTACACCTCCTCCATCAGAAATTTCGCACGTTTCAAGATCAAGAGTGGTGTGAGTTTTATTCACTTCCAGTGCCCGTGCCAGTGCCTCACTTCCTCTATGAGGTATTTGGTTACGTGCAGGATGAAGAGTGGTGAGGGTTTTACTCGCTTTCAATGCTCCAGCGCTTCACCTCCTCCATCACATATTTGGTTCTCTCTGAGATCAAGAGTGGTGAGGGTTTTACTCACTTGCAATGCCTCTGCGTGTGAGTCACCTGCTCCATCACATACATAGTTGTTTTTAAGATCAAGAGTGGTGAGAGTTTTATTTACTTTCAGTGCCTCTGCCAGAGCCTCACCTCCTCGAATAGGTATATGGTTCGACTTTAGATTAAGAGTGGTGAAAGTTATATTCACTTTCAGTTCCTTTGCCAGTGCGTCACTTCCACCATCAGGTCCCAAGTTTCGTGCAAGATCAAGAGTGATGAGAGTTTTATTCACTTTCAAGGCCTCTGCCAGTGCTTCCCCGCCTCCGTCAAATATTTGGTTCAGCGTTACATTAAGAGTAGTCAGAGTCTTATTCAGTTTCAATGAATCTGCCAGTGCTTCATCTCCATTAGATATTTGGTTCCCTGCAAGATCAGGCGTGGTGAGAGTTCTATTTATTTTCAACGCCACTGCCAGTGCTTCACCTCCTCCATCAGATACTTTGTTACTATGAAGATTAAGAGTGGTGAGAGATTTATTCACTTTCAGTGCCTCTGCCAGTGCCTCACTTCCTCCAGTGAAGCGGGTTTATATTAAACACAGTGTAAAGAGATACCCTGAACAGCTTTTGTTTTAACAAAGGCAAAACCCGTTGGTAATCGATCTTTAGAATTAAACAAACACTCAAATTTCCCCTTGCGTGTCATTAGTGCTTTTATAGCCAGCCGTTCTTTGAACGATGGCAGGTTCGTACCAGGTTGACGAAGAACCACTCGGAGTTTAGCCACTGAAAATACGCGAAATTGCTTAATATCGAATAAAAATATTTTTATACTAGTTCCAGATCCGTCATTAGGCAGAAAAATAAACTGAATCAATTATCAATCTTATGCAGCCTCCTCCTTTCCTCGATCCACTCGGCCAAAAATCAGCTGTTTCCCCCTTGTCTTTTCGTCACGGACACTTCGTCGCGGTCATTCTGTCGCCGATCTTTTCGTCGCTCATTCAATCATTAACTAGTGAGTATATTTGTAAATTTATTTATACTTTCGTTAAAGTATACTCCCAGATAAAAATTATTTAATAAATCTGATCTAGCAATTTCTTAAATAAGATTTCGCAAAAAAGTCCCAAGAATTTCGTAAGGACATTATACGAAACTTATAAGAACGTTGTAAAAGCTTCATAAGAGTGTGATAAGACTTCTCACGTAATCTTGCGAGAAGCTTATTGGATTTTTGCGGATTCTGATAAGTATTTTGTACTATGCAGTATTTTATTTGCTGAAAACTTATGAAAAGGTTTATTTTTACGTTGGTTTGGACAACAAGTAGGATAAAGATTCGTTTTTGTTAGGTGAAACACTTAAAAAAATGTGTCCTGCAGCAGTCTGATGTTGAAACGACAGTTGTTTTATTTTCAGCGACATTAGATGTTTTCATGTAATTGAGATCACGCCTCCTTGCCTCTTATAAATTAATGGCGAGATAACGTATCACAGTTGTAGTTCCTGATAGCTCAGTTGGTAAGAGCACAGCATAACATGCCATAGGTCTCAGGTTCGAACCCTGAAGGAACCGCTGTTTTCTTAATTTTTTAATGTAGCAGTGAAAGAGATAAAATTACGGAGCAAAGTCTAGCAATTTCTAGATCACAAAAAAGATTTTTAAGTGCTCCCCCGTCAGAACCATAAATTCTTTTATAAAAAGTCCATATTGAGCTAAGCACGAACGAAACATCGCAGAGAGCTCGCATCTTGACTGTCTTAAATACAGGTCTTAGATTGAAGCTAACACATGTGGCTGGAGGATAATACAGCCCGATTTTTGATATTTCGTCTAGATTTGTGATTAGAAAACACCTTTACCAAAGTTAATGAGACGCTTTCGAACTTTTGACGCTGACCATTAATTTGAAAAGAAAAATATAAAAATCCGGCTCTAATAGCCTCTAGTCACATGTGAGCAAATACGAATTCCAGAAGAAACAAGAGTTCTTATACTTTCTTGTCAAGTTCTTACTAATACTACGAGTCACGTGCAGCATGGAATTGTTATGAAGATGTTTGTTATATTTGTCATATACCATAAGACAGAGAGCGATATTTTAAAATATTCTAAGTAGAGCATTGCATCACATGAGTGGATTGAAGACCTGTTCTTGGAAAAATGAATCAGGAGGAAGCTTTTCTCTAGAACATAACTCGAAGTGACTCGAGATGATTCGAGTCAATTTTTGATGCTACGTGGACTCGGACCTCGACTCTCAGGCTACTGCCTGGGACTCGACTCAGACTCGAAAAAGTGATGACTCGCCCATCTCTGGTGTGCGTTAGGCGTTGCTATACTCAGTTCGACGAGCTCTACCGATTGCTCAACTCAAATTGTAATGTTGGGATATGTAGGTTTTTTATCGAACTAATAAATGATAAGTATTAAACTCAAATAAGAATATTAATCTTCCATTACTGAAACTCTAATCCGAAATATTTTCCCCTAGTCGTCGATTCTTATATAAGAGTAAATGGCGAATCTTACTGGAAAGCTGAAAGTATCAAACAAGATCCGTGCAAAAGTCTTATCAAATTCTCACCAATCTCTTCTCAGCTTCTTAGAAGATCGGTACTAATTATTGGTACTTTCTTACGGGATCTTATTTATGAAGCTGGTGAGAATCTGATAAGACTTTTGCACGGATCTTGTTTGATACTTTCAGCTTTACGCAAGGGGGAAACAGCAGACTGAAATCAGCCCAAAATAAGTCGAAAATCACCCAAAATCAATTGCTTTTTAGTGATCCTCTGTAATTCCGTATGATTTTAAATAACTTCAAGTCGTTTCTGGTGACTTTTCATTTGGTGAAAATCGATGAAAATCATCAAAATCGATAAATTGACGTTATTCTCAAACCAATCAGAATTTTAGCTAAAATCTAGAATATTTTCACTAAAATTTTGAGGTTATCAACTAAAACCTTCCAAGTTCCGGGTAAATTTAAAAGAAACGAAACCCTTACTCGAAACTGCTCTAGCCACACCCGTTGCTTGCTCAAGCTTTGCAGTTACGATTCTGACACCGAAAAATGAGTTTGATGTCGGTACTTCGTTCTAATGTATACATACGGATTTCCCTTTTTATAGTAGCGAGCTTTGTCACAAAAAATTATGTTCAAACAAATCGTGACACAAAAAGTGATGCTGCTAAATATCCGCGCGACGAAAAGATCGGCGACAGAATGACCGCGACCAAGTGTCCGTGACGAACAGACAAGGGGGAAACAGCTGATTTTTGACCAAGTGAGTTTCACCAAATGAAAAGTCACCAGAAATGACTTGAAGTTATTTAAAATCATAGGGAATCACAGAGGACCACTGAAATGCAATTGATTTTGGGTGATTTTCGACTTATTTTTGGCTGACTTCAGTCTCCTGTTTCCCCCTTGCGAAAAGACCTGCGACGAATTGAGTGGTCACCCCAAAAACAGTCATATAAATGTTCCTGTATAGTCTTTCACTCAAAACTACTAAGCATATCGACAGTCACTTTCGACATAATAAATTGGGAGGTAAATACCGAAATCTAAATGAGTTCTCAATGCAATATGATTAGTTGAAGATGTACAGAGCAAGAAAAACATTTTCTTTCAATTTCAGCAGCATAAAGGTTAAATTTTTTTGAAACGGTAAAGTTTCAAATTTAATAATAAAACTAAACACAGTCGATCAGAGAAAAAAGCCTACCCAGATTTAGCTGATTTTGAAACAAAATAAGCTTTAGGTGTCTTATTCGAGAAGATTTTGTGATTCTAATACGTTAAAAACAGAGAGTTCTGTAGCTATGATTTTAGTTTTCTGACTAATGCAACGTCATGAATGACTTCCTTAATGATTGTGTTTGTATACTATTCCTTCAGATGACAATTGTTTTTAACCGCATGGCGTTGATATCGGTATAGATGGCTGCTGCTGATTTTCTTGTCTTCGTTCAGTTTCAGTTTTGATCATTTTGTTTTGTACGTCAGCTGATAGTCCTGGATTTAAGGTCAACAAGTAGGGTAACACAACTTTTGGTAGATTAGTGAAATTTACAATACACTTGATGAAGAGTGTGTCATCTTTTACATAATTATTTCCATCTTGTTGCAACATCGGTAACGGGAAGAATTTTGGGATGCCCGAGGCAATGTTCATTTGTGTTTTGGGTATTTGAAACGAATCAGATTTTACATCAGGACGAAATGAGTCGATGATATGATGTTCTTGCCCAGATTGATCAAACATACAAAAAGTGACTTTGAAATGAAATGGCCATCTTAAAATGGCATCGTATTCACCACGCATCACAATAAAGAAAAGTGATAGGTGTGTTCTACGGGTGTTACCATCTCCATTCAGATATGCACGCATACACATTTTATAACCTGTTGGAGTTGAGTAGAATGGAGGTGAATAAATACTCGGTTGTCGTTCTGATTGAGCTTGCATCATCAGCTCTGCAACGTTCTTAATTTTCCAAGTAAATGTACCATCATACGACGTTGATTGTACACTTTGCACGTGATGAGTTAAATTTGTCAAATTTTGTTGCAAAATTTCTTGATTCAATTGTATCCCGTTGATTAGTGCATCTTGTTCTTGTTCGGACTGTTTTAATTTCAGCTGTTCTTGACGATCGGAATCAACGGATGATTTCAAATTAGATAGCTCTCTCGTCAGTCGTTCTTTATCAGAAATAACAGTCTGTATGCCACCTGTAAGAACTGTTAATGTTTCATATAATTTATTATATTCTGCATACAAATCGTTAATTGCTATGGATAGTGAAATGATCGATTCCTCAGTTATCTCTATATTCGAATCGTTATCTGAGTGAAGCATTGTAGTGTCATGATGAGTACATGGCATAGGACATTTTTGGCGTCGTTTACTCAAACGATGCTGAAGTGATTCACAATCTGGTATATCTTTATAGCATCTCACTGGTACTGATATACAACGAATCAACTTTTGAAATTCAGAAGTACAATCTTGTTTTTCAGCTTCAAAATCATCCAGTACTACATATGTTTGTCATAATTGATCATCTTCGAACTGTTCATTCGACCGTAGACGCTTAATTCTATGTACCTGTTGTTCGTTTTGCAATTTAATATTACATGGAGGACACTCGCATGGTTTCGCTACAACTGCAGTTGAACTGTTAATTGAACCTAACTGTTTTTGATAAACCATTGTTTGCGCAATAAGTTTGTAGAATGTTGAGTATAATAATGAAGCAATTAGACGAATACATGTTCACTATATAGTGCCTTCTGTTGGAAATATTTCGCTCTTCTGACATTACAGAACAAGGAAAAAGCCTATACTTGCGTAAAAGAGAAGAAAGAACAGAAAGAAAAAAAATCCAGTGCATGCTGTTTTGCCTTTCGTCATATCTAACCTAGTCATACTGATAAAAACCCACATGTGTAAGCGAAGGTAAACTACATCACTCATTTCTGTAAGGAAGACGAAAATGAAATTAGTACGATATCTATTATCAAGCTGTTATTCAACAAGCACGAAGCTGAATGTTTTATCGTGAGAAACTGTTAACCTGCTAGGTTTCGAAGGCTAGAATTTGCTTAGTATAACCTGCCTTACGCAATTCTTTGAAGTCTTCTTCTTCTTCTTCTTCAAACCATGAACGGTATAGTTTAATTAATATAGTCGATTGTTCTTGGCGCACGTACACATCATTTTCATCCAGAATATTGAGATATTTTAGTCGTATGAATATGAATAAGCGGATTTAAATAATGGACAATTTAGCTATCAATGCGCAGACAGCCATTATTACAGGAGTTTGAGACGGTAGGACAATGCCAGACAGTTCTAAAATGGAAATAGCTGTGTACGGTGTCCACTCAACAGATATTCACTTACAAGAAACAGTATTGCATATGCGAAACGACGATCGACTTTTAGTCGATTTTAAACACCCATTTCTCAATGAACTGGGAGCACCTATAGAGAGATTTAGATTGTTACTCGAGTCAACAAAACAGTCCAGACAGCGGTTACCTGTTATATTTGAAATATTAACGGATATCTGTCAGCGGTTAAGAAACGTCGTGTTTTCTAAGTACGAGGATGCCCTATTAGAAGCGGCCTTTTCGATGACATATTTTGGATTCTTTCGTGCAGATGTATTGTTTCAGGATAAATTCGACCCTAACGCAAACGTAAGTGCATCTAATGTAGATTTACTAGAATCAATGAGCAGCGATGTTGAAAACATCAGAAACGGATCCCTCTAGAGAAGTAGTCACAATACGTTTATTTGCTACTGATAGTAACGTTTGGTCCATAAAGATTCGCGGTGTTAGTATTTTCAAATTTTCTCCTCCTCCGTACACTTGACTGAGCTAGATTTTTTACCAAGTTGTGAGAAGTTCAAAAATGTAGAAAGAATAAACGTATTTTCTTAAAGAGAATGAAATTATTTTGAATGGTTTCACAATCATTAAAGCACGGTTCCGGTATATTTTTGAGTAGTTTCAAATGCGCTCTTTCTCATCGTATAGAGCGAAAATCGTTTGAATCTAAATATCCGACGTAAAGATCAAAACTTCTCAGCCATTAAGTGAAAATAACAGAAGTTCTTAGCTTTTTGCGAGGTGGAGTATTTTGTTTTCTAAATCTTAGAGATTCCATCATAACGACTAATCATTTGTTTTGAAAAAAAAAGTTAACTGAATGGATCAAGTTTGTCTAAGCTTCATTGGTTTTATTGGAAGGCTTAAATTATTGGTAAGAAATCGTCATTTTTTTGAAAAATTGGCAAAAAATAATGAAATTTTTGCACCCTCAGTTCTAACTGAAAAATATTTAAATTATAGATGGAAAATGGAGCTTTTCAAGGCATACACGGCGGCTACTTCAGCTTTCTTCTCTCACAAAGTCTTAGCAGATAATACTAAAATCTCATCTCTACATTGTATCGATGCTGTACAGTAAGGCCCATTTGAACCTTGGTTTTGACACAATATTGTTAGTAGACCAATATTTATTGTTCCAACACTGACATGTAGTACCGTTTTTTACATTGTAAATAGCGACTATTTTGACATTATGAACATTTTTTTAACACATAATTTACTGCAATAGATGAGCGATTTTGCTATTATATCGCTCAATACATCAATGGGATTAAGTGGCTCAAATTGCATACTATAATCAGTTCGGTTAAACAAAGTTCTACTATACGATTGTCCATAACAGCAGTGATGACAGAGAATAGTAATAATAAATATGACTAAATAATGCGTTCTACAAACTGTGGTCGCAAATCGAAAGAATAAAAGTAAAACGTATTCTTTATTGCTTTTGGACGAAAGTAAGTAGTGATTGAGTGTGAGTGCGCAGAAAGTTCTTTTTCCTACAATATATATTGTGTTTCCTTCATTTCCTGTTGTAATAATGCGCAGAAAGTTCTTTTTCCTACAATATATATTGTGTTTCCTTCATTTCCTGTTGTAATAATTACAGTAAAATCACTCGTTAGAAAGATTTCTTTTTCTTCGTGCAATGGAAATCACACTTATAAAATTAATCATTATTTGATGCACACTGTTATCTGATGTATAAAATTTGCTACTACTAACTTCTTAGAATTCTATATAATATTTCACGGGGTATTAAACTCTATGAAATGAACTTCATGATATGTACGTCGAAGTATCCTCTACAAACTGGGAACTTTTGAGGAAAATCTAAATTGAGGAACCCACTGAAGACAAACGGCTACTAAAGATTTTTTGTAAAATACTTTTAAGTTAAGCACATGCGTTTAAGTAGAGCATTTGACGTAAGTGGAGGACTCAAGATTAGTGATGAAAAAAGCTTGTGACCAAATGAGTCGATTCTAACTTTTTTTGCACAAATCACACGCGAATCAAGTAATCCAATAATCAATCATCGAACGCATATGTGGAGCCGAGTGGAATGTGAGGGTCAGCTCCTTCACAACATTTCAACACTTCCATTATATTTGTTTCCAAACTGGAGTGTTACAATCAAATATCTCGGTGATCTTGATGATCGAGTTACACATTGGATTAACTACCATTCTAAAATAGAAAGCGAGTTATGGCAACTTACTTGAAAAAGTATTGTCAATTAAAAAAATATATTCATTCTAAACACAAATATATGATATGTTCCGGATTAAAATCGAAATCTGTCACATTTTCTATGATAAAATGACTTCCATGACTTGATAAAACATGCTGAGCTAATTAGCTCTCACGCTTAAACCTGAGTATCGAAAGATTTATTCTAAATCATGTTTACACACAACAATGAATTGCTAGCAAAGATGAAAAGTCATATGATAGTATTTAGAACTCTGTGATTGGCATTCACAACAGAAGAGAGCGATAGTTTGTTGAACTGATGACGATATCTTGATTATACTGTATTCAAGATATTAACAACAGAAAACAGCAATATAACCTATACATGACTCTTTGTTTTTCTGACATGGATGAAAAACATGTGATACATTCCAAGGATCGAAAGTAGGAAAACACAGAAAAGCGTGTCCCCCGTCCATTTTTTCTCTCAAACGTTTGAGATAAAAAAAACTTAACAACATTATCATAGCCCATTGTTGTTATTCTGTTTGACAATGTCCGGTGGTATCATTCTTTTGTCACCCATTATCCTTGTTAATAATTCTCTTCTTATTCCATTTGGAAAGACGTACAATGGTATCGATCTATCTGTACCATTCAGTACGGATGTCTTTGCTCGTCTCACCAGTGACTCTTTCACTAGAAGTCGGTACCGATGTTGCTCTCTTACAAAAATTTGAAAATCATCACTCGTCATCGTGTGTCCTGTTGATGAGTAGTGTTCTGCGATAGCTGATTGAGTTGTACACGGTTTTAAACTATCAGTTGTTTTTGTCAGAGTCGCTAATGCTTCAGCGAGATCTTGTTGTATCTGAAGAGATGCAACTGAAAACACTACTCTAATAACGAAAGAAGAAATGAGTAACACATAATGAAATGGTTCTTTGTAAATTTTGCTAATATAGGCAAAAAATCGTGCGAAAACGTTGAAATTCGTTTTGGGATCTAGCAGAGGTTACAAAAACCGTCATCGATTTCCTGACACAATTTGGACGAAGTAAAGTAAGCTCATGGAACGTGCGTTTTTAATCCACAATAATTACAACCTAATTAAGTCGTATTAATGTGTCTTATTCTGTGAAAATAAGACACATTAACGTGACTTAATTTTATCCTAAGTCGCATTTTTTTTAGAGTGAGGAGACGATATTATATTTCTTACCTTTTCAATCGAGTCGAGCTACTCTTATCGCAAGGGTTTGTTGACATGATGATTGTTGTTCAACACAGCATCGTTTCTTCCTCACCGGTTCGTCATTCCTATCTAATCTTTTTTCCATTTTCTCTTCTTCAATCATACCGAATAAATCGTCTAAATCAGCGCGCATCGTTGAGGATAAAAAAGCTTAGTTAATAGATCCATCAAACTTTAACGGGCTATGGTCGCAAGATGTCTTTGATGCTTTTTACTGAAATCGTATGATACTCTCTGCTGATTCTTTTTCTTGCAGCCAAAATTCTTAAAAGTTGACTATTCCATCTTTTTATGTAGATTTTGCGCTGATGAGGCATTAATAAATTGCAACTTTTTAGATCGCTAAATGTACCTTTAGATGCGCTTTTGTTAGTGACTGAGCATTAAATTAAGAATAAATAAATGTAATTGAGTACAGATTGATCAGCTCTTGTAACGCAATCGGTTAGCGCGTTTACCCTGTAAAAAAATTCGGAATCAATGAGCTGTAGGATTCTGCTAGTTTTGAGTCATGATTAAATAGACTCAAATACGAATCAAATGTATAACATTTGGCGCCCTATAGAGAATCAGTGGGGGCTCATTTTTGTTGAGTGTTAGAGTGACTCAAAAGCTTGTATCTGATCTGCTGAGCGATTGAACAATAAATGAGCTGTTTTTTGATCAGGCCTTTCCTGTTCATTATTGAGCTGTATGTTTATTTTTCGGAAACCCCTTTTGAGTACTTTATATTATAATGCAACCGGTATTCTTAAGTTATTTAAAGGAGCTGAATTAGTTTTATTTAAACACACTATCTGCACTATACACGTAATATTTAGTTGTCTACATGTTCGTGAAACTGTTTATTTAAATTAAAGAGATTGAATAATTTGTGATCTTATCTGGCTATTCTTGTACCGTATGATGCGTCGCGGACACTGCGTTATGATATACTAATGTAACGGTGGTTGCATGGTGTAGCATAAGGTCATCTATCAACATACTACGAACTGCTGAATATATATATTCCAGAAGGCAAAATAGGATAGAACGTTCACTGTAGTCAGCAGATTGTTTTAAATCACATCTGTGACGCATTAATCAACATAAGAGTAATGTTCAATGATAGATTATGTTATACGTTGCCGGTGTTGAAGCCACAGTGGATTCAATCACTGTTCCATACAACAAACAGCTGAATGCCTTTGCTATATGATTGTTTATCTAAGGAATTTCTTCTATCCAGGACTGTTTTAAATTTTGAATATTTTCCTTTTAAATATGTATATTTACTCCTATAATCGTTCGTACGGACTAGACAATTTTTGTAGAAAAGAATAGAAACTTAATACATTTTAGAAGAACATTTGACATTTAATCATTTTGACAAGTAGGAAGTTTTCGTGTTAGGGCGCCTATAGTCATCGGAGGAAATATATTATGTATGTATATATATCTATATCTGTATTTTGATTTCGCCAATAGAATACAACGTACGCATCTAAAGGATATATATATATATCTTTTAAATGCGTACGTTGTAATCCATTGGTAATCCTTAATAATAGTTGGAGAGAAAAGAAAATATATACGACACCTTCGATCATAACTTTGAGACGGACGTTTAGACAATAGTACGCACAAGAACAAAATATCTTTTTAGCTTTTCTATAAGATAACTTTCATTTATACTTGTTTCTCACTGATTCAAAGTCAGTATAAAACACTTCTGATAAATGAACACGTCCGAAATTTCTCAGTCGAGCAGTTCGTATGAAATTGTTCGGCGCCGCACGTTTGTGCGAGCCAAACGTCTTATACATAATTACACCATTTTTGATGTAAAAATTTTCAAGAATTACCTTAAAGTAAGTTTATTTAATAAATTATCACAAAACT